TTACATTCTAGCACAGCCCCCTTATTTCTATGCCATCATTACATTCTAGCACAGCCCCCTTATTTCTATGCCATCATTACATTCTAGCACAGCCCCCTTATTTCTATGCCATCATTACATTCTAGCACAGCCCCCTTATTTCTATGCCATCATTACATTCTAGCACAGCCCCCTTATTTCTATGCCATCATTACATTCTAGCACAGCCCCCTTATTTCTATGCCATCATTACATTCTAGCACAGCCCCCTTATTTCTATGCCATCATTACATTCTAGCACAGCCCCCTTATTTCTATGCCATCATTACATTCTAGCACAGCCCCCTTATTTCTATGCCATCATTACATTCTAGCACAGCCCCCTTATTTCTATGCCATCATTACATTCTAGCACAGCCCCCTTATTTCTATGCCATCATTACATTCTAGCACAGCCCCCTTATTTCTATGCCATCATTACATTCTAGCACAGCCCCCTTATTTCTATGCCATCATTACATTCTAGCACAGCCCCCTTATTTCTATGCCATCATTACATTCTAGCACAGCCCCCTTATTTCTATGCCATCATTACATTCTAGCACAGCCCCCTTATTTCTATGCCATCATTACATTCTAGCACAGCCCCCTTATTTCTATGCCATCATTACATTCTAGCACAGCCCCCTTATTTCTATGCCATCATTACATTCTAGCACAGCCCCCTTATTTCTATGCCATCATTACATTCTAGCACAGCCCCCTTATTTCTATGCCATCATTACATTCTAGCACAGCCCCCTTATTTCTATGCCATCATTACATTCTAGCACAGCCCCCTTATTTCTATGCCATCATTACATTCTAGCACAGCCCCCTTATTTCTATGCCATCATTACATTCTAGCACAGCCCCCTTATTTCTATGCCATCATTACATTCTAGCACAGCCCCCTTATTTCTATGCCATCATTACATTCTAGCACAGCCCCCTTATTTCTATGCCATCATTACATTCTAGCACAGCCCCCTTATTTCTATGCCATCATTACATTCTAGCACAGCCCTCTTATTTCTATTACATCATTACATTCTAGCACAGCCCTCTTATTTCTATGCCATCATTACATTCTAGCACAGCCCTCTTATTTCTATGCCATCATTATATTCTAGCAATGCCCCCTTATTTCTATGCCATCATTACATTCTAGCACAGCCCTCTTATTTCTATGCCATCATTACATTCTAGCAGAGCCTCTTATTTCTATGCCATCATTACATTCTAGCACAGCCCCCTTATTCCTATGCCATCATTACATTCTAGCACAGCTCTCTTATGTCTATGCCATCATTACATTCTAGCACATCCCTCTTATTTCTATGCCATCATTACATTCTAGCACAGCTCCATTATTTCTATGCAATCATTACATTCTAGCACAGCCCCCTTATTTCTATGCCATCATTACATTCTAGCACAGACCATTTATTTATATGCCATCATTACATTCTAGCACAGCCCCCTTATTTCTATGCCATCATTACATTCTAGCACAGCCCCCTTATTTCTATGCCATCATTACATTCTAGCACAGCCCCCTTTTTTCTATGCCATCATTACATTCTAGCACAGCCCTCTTATTTCTATGCCATCATAAAATTCTAGCACAGCCCTCTTATTTCTATGACATCATTACATTCTAGCACATCCCTCTTATTTCTATTACATCATTACTTTCTAGCACAGCCCTCTTATTTCTATGCCATCATTACATTCAAGCACAGCCCTCTTATTTCTATGCCATCATTACATTCTAGCACAGCCCTCTTATTTCTATGCCATCATTACATTCTAGCACAGCCCCCTTATTTCTATGCCATCATTACATTCTAGCACAGACCCTTTATTT